TGAGTTGTCTTTGTACTTTGGTGCACCACATGTTTTCAGTTGGTGAGTGGTCTGGTCTCCTGAGTTATCTTTGTTCCATGGTGCACCAGATATTTTCAGTTGTTGAGTGTTCTGGTCTCCTGAGTTGTCTTTGTGCCATGATACACCAGATGTTTTCAGTTGGTGAGTGGTCTGGACCACTGAGTTGTCTTTGTGCCATGATACACCAGATATTTTCAGTTGTTGAGTGTTCTGGACTCCTGAGTTGTCTTTGTGCCATGATGCACCAGATATTTTCAGTTGTTGAGTGTTCTGGACTCCTGAGTTGTCTTTGTGCCATGATGCACCAGGTGCTTTCACTTGGTGAGTGGTCTGGACCACTGAGTTGTCTTTGTGCCATGATACACCAGATGTTGTCAGTTGGTGAGTGGTCTGGACTCCTGAGTTGTCTTCGTATCATGGTGCACCAGATGTTTTCAGTTGGTGAGGGGTCTGGACTCTTGTAGTTTGAAGCCCTGCTGCTGTAATGAATGCAGGACGTGTCGTCAAGCCTTCCCTGAAAAACACTTTTGCTGGATGGGAGTGTATGTTGCTTTAAAATCTGAATTTCTGAATTTATAATGCCAGAGTTACTAATGCACCCCTATACCATCAGAGAGGCAGGCTTTTAAACTGTGTGCTTATAACAGACTGTCCTCTTCAGTACAGAGGTCATGGTGCCTGTGGTTTACAAAATATATATATAATTTTGATTTGTCTGCCCATCGAACAGTTTTCTACTTCACTCCAGTCCACTTTAAATGAGTTTAGGCTCAGGGAGGGCAATAACATTTTTGAACTTTGATCATATGCTCGAAGGGTTAATAACGGAGAGATTGCAGTATCTAAGAATAGGACTTCTCGTGGACCTTTTTGACCCACTAACAGGCAAAGGGTTAAAATAATTGTTTTGCTCTGTAAAGGTTTTGGATCGCTCCCCTTGTGTTCCACAGCTCTCCATCTCCAGATTAATCTAAGTTGAGATTTCTACATCCATTCCTTGTTTTATTGGATATCTCTTAACTCAAGTACAGGACAGTGGTTTAAAACTCATCTGGTTATTCATTCTGACCACTTTATATAAACACTCCATTTTCTACTATTTACTCTTCGAATCCTGTTTAGGAAATAACTTATATAGATGCATAAGTACTTTTCTCACTGTTTAGTGTCCAGAGCACTGTCTGTATAATGTTTGCAAGAATCAACTAACTAGTTTCTTTACTTCCCTTCGGATAACTGCTGCAGTGACAAGCAGCTGCAGGGAAATTGAGTCATTTTTATTGTTATTTTCTCAATCCATCACAGTTTCTTCTTCTGTCTCTCACTGCAGGGACTCTACAGAGTGACACAAAGAGACAGCATCTCCTAGAACGGCTGCTGGATGCTGTTAAACAGGCGAGTGAAGTGTTTTCTGTTCTTTCTGTTAGAAAAGAGCATCATGGCAGACAGAAGATTTCAGTAAATGGTCCCAAGGTGTGAATGAGCGAGTGAATGGAGTTTGTCTCGTTTGTCTCTGTGATGGACTGGAGACCTGAATGGAAAAGTGAGTAAAGATAATAGATTGACAGATGGATTAGTCAAAAGAGTTATGTTTCTCTGGGAAATGAAACTTTTTTTTTTCTAAACACTAAAGTTTGTGGTGTGACTGTGAGTTTTGGTTCCTTCATTTTTGCTGTCTGCAAACACAGGAAGTAAAACTAGCAGCTTTAATCAGTTACCATACCATACCATACCATACCATTTTATTTATAGAGCACTTAAAACAGCCACAAGGCCAACCAATGTGCTGTACAGACAGAACAACAGGTAGCACACAAAGCAATATACAAAATGAGGTGAATCAGAATATAGAAAAAAACGATGCAGACAATGACGACAAACCAGTGTGGAGCGTACAGGATCAAAACACAGATCATCTGGTTGTTGAAAGCTACCGAATTGTAGTGGGTTTTTAAACGGGAATTGAAGACCAAGAGGGAGGGGGCCTGTCTGACAAGCAGAGGTAACTCGTTCCAAAGTCTTGGTCCTGCTACAGAGAAGGTCCTGTCACCTCTGCGCTTAAGACGAGTTCCTGGAACTGTGAGGAGCAACTGGTCCACTGACCTCAGGGAACGTGGTGGGACATACGGTTGTAGCAGATCAGAGAGATGGGGGGGGGGGGGGGG